TGCGTTGTAACGGGCTGAACGCCCTTTGGATAGCTCCTCGATGGAATCTCGGTCAAGCAGCAGACGCCAGGTCTTACTCTGCAACCCGGCATCTGTGCGAGGCCTGAGCGGCGCCCAGACGACGCGCTCAGACACTCGGTGCAACCTTTCTCCGACAAGTAAATAAACACCACGCAAGTAGACTCTATAGCTCTCTATCGAATACAACCTCTTGTATACCTCGCGATTGCTCCCTGGAGCGCAGCCCCTTACATAAGGATAGAGCTAAGTTAAGCCTAAGAGGAATGTATCCTATATTGCCTAAGCATAATGCTAAGCTATAGGATTACCTCTAGAAGAACTTAAAGAAAGGATTTATTAGACTAGGACATAGCCTAATAGCCTGTTCTATTCTATTTATAAAGAAGCTAAACAAGAAGTAGCAACTATATATTAACTACTAATAGTTAAACAATGTAACAATTAAGAACTAGTATCTCTTACTACTTATAGAAGAGCTTATAGATTAACTCTAAGAGGCTAAGTAGTTTTTAAAGTTTAACGTCTGCAAAGAATTCTATTAGATTAGAATTAAGGAAAGACACAAGTAGAAGATAGCCTTTAAGACAAAGTATAGACTATACAAGTATATAGTTATGCTATTTAAATTAATAAATGCGCTAGCGATATTTTAGTTAGTAATTAACAAGGCAGTCTACGAATATTTAGGAATCTTTGTTATAGCCTAGCTAGACAATATATTAGTATACACTAACAGTACGCTAGAAGAGCATATTAAACATATTAAGAAGGTACTATAGAAGCTTAAGGAGTACAAGTTGTACTTATAGGCTAGGAAGTGCGAATTCTATACAAAGGAAACTAAGCACCTAGGCTTTATTATCTTAATAAAGAGTGTTAAGATAAATGTAAATAAGATCTAGACTATATAGGAATAGCTAACCCTTAAAATAGTTAAGGACGTGCAATTCTTTTTAAGATTTATAAACTTTTACTAAAAGTTTATTAGAAACTACTCTTAGATTACTACCTCTTTTATAAAGATTACAAAGAAAGAAGTTAGGTTTAAATAGACTTAAGACTACTAAAAGGCGTTGAAGACGCTTAAGTAGGCATTCTTAGAGGCACTTGTACTAGAGATGTACAACCTACAATAAAAGACGCAAGTTAAGACTAACGCGTTAGATTACGCACTTAGAGCTATATTATCACAGCAGCGCCTAGACAAGAAATAGAGACTAGTGTTCTACTATTTATAGAAGTTCTTAGGAGTAGAACTAAATTACAATATTTATAATAAGGAACTACTAGGAGTAGTTAATACCTTTAAATAGTAGGAGGTGCATTTATTAGGCTTGCCGTAGATAATTAGGGTATTTTCTACCTACTAGAACTTAACAAGTTTTGTAACAACTAAGAAGCTTAACTAATAATAAGTCTAATAGGCTAAGATGCTAGCTTAGTTTAACTTTAAGATTACCTACTAAGTAGAATTGCTTAATAAAGTAGTAGATGCTCTAAGCTATAGGTTAGACCTATAAGAAGATAATTACAAAGAACCACACAATGCAGTATTTAAGTAGATGCCTAATAGCAGCTTAAGATACAACTAGCTAGAACTAGCTAAGGTAGCTAAGGTGGCTGCATAGGTAGAAACGCTATAGTAGCAATAGCAGTAGAAAGCAGCTAACTAGCAATTCGAGCCTAACGCTAAAGGCTCTAATAAATTATTGCAGGACAAACGAGAGTACTAAGATATAATTTTAAAGGATTAAACATATATACCTCTATATATAAGATTAAGTCTTATTAAAGAACTACATAAGTCCTTAGAGTATTGATATGCAGGAATAGAAGAAATAGTTAGAAGACTAGCTAAGGTATTTGCCATACCATGCTTGCGAGCGAAGGTGTAGAATATCTTAGGCAACTATTTAGCATGTTACTAGAATAAGCCTAAGAGACATAAGCCCTATAGCCTGTTGCAACTCTTATAGCCACTAACACGACTATAAACTAGCGTTATAATAGACTTTATAGTAAAGCTCCTAGAATCGTTGGAACCTAGGTCTAACTAACTTTGCAACATAATACTAGTAATCATAGATTAATTAACTAAGGTAGCAAAGTTTGTGCTAATAAAAGAAGCTATTATAGCAGACGAATGCGCGTATAAAGTAACTAAGGCACTAGTATTAGAGCATAGGATGCCTAAAGAATTTATAATAGACAGAGATAAGCTGTTTACGTCAAAATGGTAGGACACATTCCTAGCACAATTAAGAACAAAAAAAAGCTATTAACTAGCTTCTACCTTGAGATAGACCGCTAGACAGAATAAACAAACTAAACCTTAGAGTAGTAATTATAGATGTACGCCAACAAGCTACAAGATAATGTAAGGGGCTGCGCTCCGGGGAGCAATCGCGAGGTATACAAGAGGTTGTATTCGATAAGGAGCTATCTACTCTGCTTACGTGGTGTTTATTTACTTATCGGAGAAAGGTTATGCCGGAGTATCTGAGCGCATTGTCTGAGCGCTGCTCGGTCTGAACGTAGTTCAGATGGTGCGCGCGCAGCTTGGCCCGAGATTCCATCGAGGAGCTATCCAAAGGGCGTTTAGCCCGTTACAATACCCCCCTCCTTAGGGGATACCGCATCGCCTCTCCAAAACCCCTCTGGGAGGCGGCCCTCGCTGTCTCGTTTGGCCTCCGTGAATGCTTCCCAACGATCTACTGCCT